CTCCGGTCCCGCGCGCTCCGCCGCCGGGCCGGGTCCCCGCCAGCCCCCCTGGCCAAGAGCACAGGAAATCGTCCCAACTAGGCACAGCCCGGGCCTGCTAGCCGGGCGAAGCGTGTCACGGGGACGAGGACCAGTATTCGCCCCACAGAGGCCTGGGTCACATCGCTAGACGCCTAGAACTGTGCTGCTTAAGAGCTGGCAGGTTGTCCCAGGGATGATGGACTTACTGGAAGGAGGCAGGTTGGTGGTTAAGAGCCAGGGGTATAGAATCAGAGGGTCTGTCTTCTCCTCTTGGCCCTACGGTTTACGGTGTGTGCTACAGACCATCTGGGAACCTCAGTTTCCACCTTATAAAATGGGAGCAATAATAGTACCTCCTTCACAGAGCTATCGCATGAGAATTAAGAGTTAATTCGTGTAAAACTGTCACATAGTCCCTAACACAGAGTATGCTTCTAATCTGCGTTGTTTCTGCTGCCCTGTGAGATAAGGAGCTATGACACACCTGACTGCCAGGCGACTCCGCAAGTGCCAGGGCACTCAGCAGTTTATCAGCGATTCGGCTATAACACTGCGCAGTGTGTGGAAGCGCGGTGAGGATATGGAGCTGGGTAAGTGAGTCCCCTGTTGTAGGAGTTTGTGCCTTCAGACTAGGAAGGGAGGTCTGATTCTTTTTCTTCTAAATTATAACTCGAATTTCCTTTGAATCAGACCCTATTCAAAGACTTCTGATATCTTCTAAGGTGCACTCACATCTGCCACGGCCTTTCAGGAACCATGTAAACAAACTCTCAGCATAAAGCCACACTGCAATAGATGAACCAGCTTGCTCACTACTCACTCAAAAGCTTTTAGAAGGGAGTGGTTTGCATGTTCATAAAGGGTGTAAGGGCTGTTGGAGTTAGATGTGTATAGGGGGAGGAAAAGGACTTAGTGAAAACTTGCCAAAAGCTAAATAATGGGTCTTAGACTTGAGGAGGGCCTGTAGCTTGATCATAGCCTAAGACATGGTAGGAACGCAGTTAGGTGGTGCTGAATACAGTGCAGTTGTAACTAGCTGCACACATCAACCCCCCCTTTTGTGAACTCGATTTGAAGAATTACCTCTTCTGAAGGAAAAAAAGGCTACTTTTGAAACAATAACAATTACAAAAAAAGAGCAGGGCCTGAATTGGACAAGTATTTTGGACCCCAAACTCAGTATTTCTAATTAAGCAAAACTTACCTACTGCTACTACTGCGTATGGATGACAGTGTTGGAACACTGTATAGTGTCGCACTTAGATCTCATGCCCCTCCTTATCTAGAGATGGCCCATCTTGCCCTTTCCCTTCTTTCTTATTTCTTCTTTCTTACTTTTCTCTCCCAATTTTATGTTCAATTAATTCCAAAGTGATGACTTAGACATTCTGCTTATTGTTTTTTCTGTCCTTCTCTACCTCCTCCATTCACCTGGACAGGCTGACTCTGAAAGTTAGAACTCTTCTAGAGTTTTTGCCCAACAACTGTTTATATCAAAGTGAATAGAAGACCTTAATCCTTAAGGAAATCTGTAATATCGATTACCAGGACATGGAAAATAAGTGAGTTTACGGCTAACTAAAAATTTGTTTTTCTTAAAATTATAACTCCAGATTTTAAGACATTTCATTCAAAGAAGAAAGTCATTCCTGTAGTGCTGATGGAAAATCTAGTATTAGGACTTCTTTCCTGTTTTTTTTCGTTTTTTGTTTTTTGTTGTTGTTTTTTTTTTTGCCTGAGCATATTTCTATTTCCAATGGGGTTAGTAACATATTTGCAATAGTTTTTACAAGTAATTGCCCACCCCCCACCATCAGGCAGTGGGGGTAGGAGGCCAAGATAGGTGAAATTAACATGGTCTTAATGAGACAGCTTAAAGATTTATTTGTAATATGATAGCTATCCATGAAAAAATGTCTCTAAAACCTAAGTTAAAAGAAACCCATCTAGGTTTGTTCTATGTAGCATACGACTTAAGAGTAGGATGCATGCATGAATTCATTCATTTATAAATTTTTTATTGAGCACCCTGCCCCACTTCCAGTAGGTTGGGTCTGTGTGAGGTTCTTATTTTGATGAAATTCTTGTCCATTTCATCATTTTAGTACATACAGTTTTTGAGAGGAGGTATCAAAATGATTTTTCTTCTCCTATTAGTAAATGTTCGGAAAATCTTAACTACTATTGTTTGCAAGGAGTTTAAAACAGTGATTATCATAGCAAATGGCATCCTGTGTCCACTAATCCAGGGGTCCCCAACCTCTGGGTCATGGATGGGTACCAGTCCATGGCCTGTTAGGAACCAGGCCGCACAGCAGGAGGTGAGCGGCAGGTGAGCTAGTGAAGCTTCATCAGTATTTGCAGCCGCTTCCCAGCACTAGCATCACTGCTTCAGCTCCAGCTCAGATCATCAGGCATTAGGTTCTGATAGGGGTACCAGTCCCTGATGCCAAAAGGTTGGGAACCACTGCTCTAACTGGAGGGAAGATCTTCCAGGAAGGGAGAAGAGAGGAGGTTAGTTGGAGCTAAATGGCTGAGCACACTCTAGTATCTCCCAGACCACAGGCTTACTCTCCAGTAAGCCTTCTTTAATTGTTTAAAACATTGCCCAATGATCAAAAGAACTAAAAAAATTTCATAATAAATCTATACTAGTGTATTTATCTTCTGGCTGTTATCATAGCTTCTGACAAGAGGGCTAGTTTTCAAATGGCATATCCATATATTTGAAGAACAACAACTTGATAATAGATTAGTATTTGTGAGTAGGATAGTTTATAACTATTTTGTTCCTTAATATTCTCAGCTTAGTGTCTAAAAAAGAGGGTTACTTTTCTGGTTCATTGAAAATATTATGTGAATGATTTTAGGAATAAAAATATCTTTTCCCCCCTTTTTTTACAAATGATAAATGCATCATTTCTTTTCTCTATGTAGTTTCATAGGGAACTACAATTTTACAAAGGGTCTGTTTTTCAAATTGCCTTTGCGCAAACTGGTTATTAATGAACATAATAATGACTCTTGATTTCACCATTATTTAAAGCATTGAGATTAGACCAGAGTTTCTCAGCCTCGACACTATTGATATTTTGGACAAGATCCTTCTTTGTTGTGGGGGCTGTCTTATGCATTGCAAGATGTTTAGCAGCATCCCTGGCTTTTCCTCCACTAGATGCCAATAGCACTCCCCAGTCATGACAACCAAAAATGTTTCCAGACATTGCCAAATGTTCCCTGTAGACCAAAATTGCCTTTTCCCCCTTTTCTGGGCTGAGAACCATTGCATAAGACATTGTCAAAATAATTCTTTATGTGAATGGGGAAATTTAAGCTCCAGCTGTCCATTTACAAACACATGCTGAAATCTCAGAATTATAATACCAATTTGTCAGAAACTCCAGGGATTTTTGAAATTAAGTTTAAGGATATTTGTTTGCCATGTAATATTTTCAGAAGAACTAGTTACCACCAATTAATAGCAAGTTTTCAATACAATGTTAGTATTATTTGAGAGATACATATATCTCAGTAAGAGAGTATCAAGAAGCAACTGCTAGGCCCTGGCTACCTTCCAGTCTCCTGCGCTTTCCTAACAAAGGAAGGACTGTTTGAATAATTATAGCTGGACAAACAGAGATTCGGGACTTCTTGATTCCATCTCAGGACTGTAAAATTTAGTAATTTTTGACACTCTTCGGCCACGGAATAGCTTTCGCAAGTTTTAGGTGACCTGAGGAGTCCACGGGCTTGTTAGTGGAATAGCCAGGCTGTTGCTTACCATGTACTTTAAACATCCTTTCCCAGACTTGCTTGCTGTCAGCAAGGACAAAGCTTGAGAAATCTAGAAAAACCTGTAGTCCTATAGGAGCCATTCTCTGAGGATAGTGGGCTTTGCATGAACTATGCCTTGCAGAACTCCTAATCTCCTACTCCTTCTTTGTCAATGTATCTTTTCATCTTCTTTCCCTTCTCTCATGTCTTTGCAATTATCCCCTCCCCAATGCACAGGACCCCCCTTCCACCCCCCAAAAAAGATCGGATTTTTAAAAGAAACAGATTTTTTAAAGTCTGTTATTAAAGTTATTCAATAATCAACTTTTGTGGAATTGTGCCAGAGAGTTTTATAGCCTTTAATGAAAGCTTGTTCATTTTTTTTCTTACCTATCACTTTTCTTTTTGGCTACATTCTGGGTAAAATTAGCCTTGTACCAGTGAACCAGGGAATTTTGGGTTTAATATTAAGGCATAGTAGCTTTTTTGTAGTTGGTATCAGCTTAATGTCCTGAGTATTTTAAATAGCACCTCCTCTGGCCAAACACCTCTTTTCATACTCAAGAATTTTCAGAATTAACTGTTTGGGACTACTCGGATCTTAGAAATAGATGGGGAGGAAGGTATACTCTTGAAAAGTCTATATTCACAATTAGAGCTGATAACATAGGTCATTCCATTCTCATTCAGAACAATGTATGACAAGTAATTTTAGATTTATTTTATCCTGTTTTCCATAAGTAAAGGATGTTCCTGTTTAATCTTTTGAGTATCCCATTGATTTCTGGAATACTGTATATATAAATGAAACATCTCCATAGAACTTTGATAGTTTATCTTTCCCAAACATGAAATAGGCACTAATTAACTTATGGTGAGCACTAATTTTGAAATTAAATTCTTAATAAGTATAACTCCCTCTATATTCAAATGAAAACGTATTTCTGCAAAGCTGCCAAAGTTTCATGTTTTCCAAATACCAACGGAAATATTCACAGTAAGATTACTAGTTACTAAAACAACAGATCTGGAGGTTGTTTTCTTGATTTAGAGTTTTATTTTGGACAAAAAAGTTATTATAGCTCAATTTGAAGCCTTTGTTTTTTCTAGTAATTCTTTTTACAACTATTAGTCTACTTTCATTTAGAGTAAATGCCAATTTAAAAAAAATAACATAGCTAATTTCATTAGTCAAGAGAAAAAAATGTTAGGAAGGTTTTTTTTTTTTAAATTTTAGTTTTTACAAATTTTTATCTTATTGCATATTTCCAATAGGAGAATAAAGACAAAAACACAGACTGTTTTCCACCTTGTTCTTGTAAATTATGGTTTCAGTGTCTATTAGGTGACTTTTAATGCTTGAGAGAATAACCTGGGAATCAAGAGCAAAAAGAGTCCAGCTGCACAGAGCAGATGGAAGACTGGGATGCTGCCAAGGGGCTGGGCAGAAGAATTTTTAGATTATATTTTCCTATCAATAAATATCTTGGAAGAATTTTGTTTCCAGAGAATTTGCTAAAAGAATGTTTGTCTATTTCTGTTCTGTGGCTACATGAAACTGTAAGGCAGATTTCTACACTACATAAAGGCATACAATAAATTAGACTACTTAGGTGTTTGTATCCACTCTTTCTGAGCCACTGAAGCCCACGTTGGCCCTCACTTTCTCTCAACTGCTTATCAAATTTTAGATTCCCTGTTTAGAACAGCGAGAGTATTAGATCTAAAAGTAGATATTAACAAGTTTATTCTATTAAATACATTATAATTAGGACTTGGCATTCTTGTGTATCTGAATAAGATAATTCTTCTCTACAATTAGCAAATACAATAATACAATTAGCAAACAAATTGTATTATTTCAAAACCAATTTTAGTAGATGTTTGCATTTTCTTAAAAAAAAAAAGGGTTCCTTCAGGGCATTCAGAATATTCTCATCATGCTAACGTGGAGAGAAACAACACACTTTTCATTGAAATATATACTGTTTCCTATAACATCTGTATTTATGTTACCATCTCATTTTTGAGAAATGATAACAATTACTTACCAAATAGATAGTGACAATTTCCCCCTTAACAGTGAGTGAATATAAAATTCTGCTTTCACTTATTATCGCTCTATATACATTCACATTTTACTAACAAGCATGCTTTTTTTTTCTCTTTCTTTCTAAAAAGTATTGTGTTCATTGGAAGCTCTTGGATAAACAAGTCACTGAAAATAAATTTAGTAAAACACTGTGGTCCTGAAAAACTGCATACTACTTTATTTGGAAATAGTAGAATTCACAGAATGTTGCTGTAAAGGGCATGCTGCTCAAATTACTCGGTTCTGAAGACTCTTACTATGAAAGTGAAGTATTTTCTGAAGGAGTAGAGCACAAATAGCTAAATGTTTAGGCCAAAAAATAGAGTTATTATTTTATCATTTTGGAAAAGCCTATCCAATTTCACTGTGTATGTATTGCAGGTCTTTTTCATTAAAAAAGTAACATAATAGAAGAAATGAGAGGTGACAAATGAACGACTGTTAGGTTTAAATTATTTATAACTATAGGATACCAATTGTCTAACAGAGTTGGACTGTCTTTTAGGAAAAGATTAAAATGCAGTTAAGTTCCTTTTAGGTGTAGGCAGATATTTTAGCATATTATAACTTACTTTAGGAGCTCATACTCTTGCCATGGATCTTATTTTCCCTTAGTTTCTTCAGTGTTTTCTTGGTTGTTTTTTTACTGCCAGAGAAACTGTTTCCATGATAGAACTGTTTCCCTTTCATTCCCCTTTCCTCCTCTTCCTTTCTCTCCCTTGCTTTCTTGCTCTTTCTTTCCCAAACCCTGTTTTTCTCAGTCACAATCCTGCTCACTAACAATGTCTCAGAGTTGGGAGGAATTTCAGAAGTTCCAGATCAGTGATCACCTACCAATAGATCTTCATGAGTGAGCACACAAGCTCTATCGCTCTATTGGAATATTCAGCAATGGCAATTACTTTATAAAGCAACCCAAATACAGTTATATTGTTGTTATAAAGTTCTTCATTATTTGTGCCAGGATTATCTATCTGAAATTTCCTCCTTTCTTCTCTCTCTTTCTCGCCGTCCCTCACCCTCTCCTTTT